TTTCGACATTTTACCCCGACTAAAAAAATCGAAAAGACATATACATGAGAAAAATTGCACCGAATTGAAAGAGAGCTTTGAAGGAATTGAAATTGTGGACAACTCTCCTACACTTTAATTTTCTCATTCAATCCTATATTTGATTTGATCAATTACATGAAAAAGATCAAATCAACATTCATCAAACACCACAACACAATCTTTTAGTGCCTTTGTTGATTCTTGGAGATCGAGGAAGGAGATCGGAGTCCCGATCATTAGAGAACAGACGATTCTCTTGAATCCACAGGAGATAGACAAAATCAAGACTTGGGAATTGGTGTAGCATGCAATCCAGGAGGGCTAGGTGCCTGGAGTTGGTGCAGGATCATACATTCCAGGAAAAGCTTGAGGAAACTATGGTCAGGATGACAGAAAAATCAGTGTAGGTTGAGTCTGGCTGATTGTAAGTTTCATTTACGTTTATAGTGGATTCCTACTGGCTTGGGCCCGTAGTTTTACCCACATTGGGGTTTTTCCGTCATCAAACAATTGTGTTATTTATATTTCTGCAATTAATTTATGATCGGTATTCAAACATAGGATAGTAAAGCATGTGAATTGATCAGGACAAATTAATTTTTGTGACGTGTTGCAATTATTAATTAATTGAAAAGAAAATTCCGCATAAACACCTATTCACCCCCCTATACGTGTTGATTGGGTCGAACTAAGATATTTCACTAATGATTTAGTCTGTCAGCTCAGCTGCCAAGCGCACAGAGGAGATGATGAGCAGTACAAATGATAATTCAGTGGGTTCAGACAATCCATATGTATTGAGGTACATTTTTAAGGTTTGCCGTTACAAAACATGAGCTAGTGCTGAAAGCTATTTTACTTGTCTCCTTCATATACTGAAAACAGATAAATATCCAATTTGTTATGATTGATTCAATCTTTGCCTTATAAAGCTCTAATTTGATATGCATCGAATGTCTACATGACTGTGCTCTAAAAAGCATAAACCGTAAACCGTGGCAAGACGTGGAGTCCAAGCTTCGGGCTAGGCAAGTCTAGGCGTAAAAATGCCATTTTAAATTTTTAATCAATCTAAAAAATATTTAATAATTAAAATAATATATACCAAACATATAAAATTATAAAATACTATTAAAAAAAAAACTCACCTAGGCGTGAGTAGACACAAAAAAAAGGTAAAAAAAAAACAAAAAAAAAAATAAAAAAGTGTGAAAAAGCACGAGGACGCTTTTTAGAACACTGCTATATGGAGACAATGTTCTTGATCTGATGGACCCTTTGCTGAAATACCCACCATTTGCATTGCCTGTAATAATTACCTGCCTGAGCAGAAGCAAGAGGACTGGACCAAGCGTCGTGCAGATTTCAACAAAGTATGTGCTTAGGTTTATGCTAAGAACCATTTCAAGTTTCTTGATCACCAGATCTAAAAAAAAAACTCACCTAGGCGTGAGTAGACACAAAAAAAAAAAGTAAAAAAAAAAAAACAACAAAAATAAAAATAAAAAAGTGCGAAAAAGCACGAGGACGCTTTTTAGAACACTGCTATATGGAGACAATGTTCTTGATCTGATGGACCCTTTGCTGAAATACCCACCATTTGCATTGCCTGTAATAATTACCTGCCTGAGCAGAAGCAAGAGGACTGGACCAAGCGTCGTGCAGATTTCAACAAAGTATGTGCTTAGGTTTATGCTAAGAGCCATTTCAAGTTTCTTGATCACCAGATCTATTTCAAGTATCAGGATTCAAAGAACTTGGCACAAAATGATAGTTTTTGTGTTGTTGTAGTGATGAGATAGGATGATTGAGAATGTTTTGTATGGAATAATTTTGGAGGTAAAAAAATAGTTGGCTTTTTATTGAAAGTTAATAGTTCGGAAGATTTTGGTAGAAAGTAATTTGGTGGACAAAGTGGGTAGGAGAAAGGAATTTTATTAGAATGATGATAGCTTACAATAGCTTGAGCTTTGTCTAGCTTCTTTTTTCTTACTAACAAATGAGGGATCATGCCTTATTTATAGACTCTTATCATATCTTCTAGAGAATTCTACAAGTGTCTACAACCTATACAAGGTTTTTTGGTGTCCAAGTTACTCTAGTGGAATCTAGACAATTCTAATTTTTTATTATACTTGCTTACCAAGGAATTCTAGGATATTCTAGACAATTAATTCTAGATTCTTCTAGAAATGAGCATCATTAAATTTATCACTCCTCCTTGATGCTCATTTCGGTAACTCCAATCATTTCTCGTAGTAGCTCGAACTTTGCTCGTGGTAGCGCCTTTGTGAATATGTCCGCCAATTGTTCTTCAGTTTTGCAATGTTTAAGTTCTATCTCTTTGTTTGCTTCAGCTTCTCTGATGAAGTGATACTTGATACCAATATGTTTTGTTCTGCTGTGAAATACAGGATTCTTGACCATTGCTATAGCTGATTTGTTGTCGCTGTAGATCTGTATTGCTTCATTTTGTGGCTCTCCCATATCTTCAAGTATGCGCTTTAACCATATTGCTTGACTCGTAATCATTGCTGTTGCAATATACTCTGCTTCAACTGATGATTGTGCAACCGTTGCCTGTTTCTTTGATGCCCAAGAAAATATTCCCGAACTTAGTGTGAATGCATAGCCTAATGTGCTCTTCATATCATCTACTGATCCTGCCCAATCGCTATCAGTATACCCAAGTAGTCTTGAGTCAGGCGTAGACTCATACCTTATTCCATTGTCTTTTGTTCCTTGGAGGTATCTTAGTATCCGCTTTATAGCTCCATAGTGAACTTGACTTGGATTTTGCATAAATCTTGAAAGTAGGCTGGTTGCATACATTATGTCTGGCCTTGTAACAGTTAGATAGAGTAAACTTCCAATTAAGCTTCGAAATTGTGAACTATCTGCTTTTGGAATACCGTCTTCTTTTCTGAGTGATTTGTTGCTATCCAGAGGTGTTGCTACTGTTTTGCAACCTTCCATCTTGAACTTTTTTAATAGATTGGTAGTATACTTCTTCTGAGCTATAAATATCCCATCTTTAGATTGAGTTACCTCGATCCCAAGAAAATAGTGCATTAATCCCAGATCAGTCAACTCGAACGTTTTCATCATATCTTCCTTGAATTTCTTGATCATCTTCTCATCATTCCCTGTGTAGATGAGATCATCAACATATAAAGAGATTATAAGTGTACTATTTGTACCTTGGTTTTTTATGTATAGAGTTGGTTCACTTTGGCTCCTCCTGAATCCTTGCTTAGTGAAGTAGTTGTCAATTCTGCTGTACCAGGCTCGCGGAGCTTGCTTTAATCCATATAGTGCCTTCTTTAGTTTGAAAACTTTATATTCTTTACCTCGAACCACGTACCCTTGAGGTTGCTCCACATAAATTTCTTCTTCAAGATAGCCATTAAGAAATGCCGATTTGACGTCCAGCTAGTAAATCTTCCACCTTTTCTGTGCGGCTAGTGCAATTAACGCTCTTATAGTATCGAGACGTGCAACAGGGGCAAATGTCTCAGTGTAATCGATGCCAAACTGCTGTGAGTATCCTTTGGCAACTAGTCTTGCTTTATGTTTTTGAATTGAGCCATCAGCATTGAGTTTTGTCTTGTAGACCCACTTAACTCCTATGACTTCTTTATCTTGAGGAGGATCTACAAGCTCCCAAGTATTGTTTTTCTCGATCATTTTTATTTCTTCATCCATAGCATTTCTCCATTTTGGTTGTTTTGAAGCTGCTTCATAGCTTTCAGGTTCTATGATCATCAAGTTGCATCTTTCATATATTTCTGATAATCTTCGTGTCTTTCTTGGCGATGATTCTGGTGAGTCAACTGGTTCTTCTATAACTGCATGCTGCGGAGACTCTGGTTGATTGTTCTCCTCAACATCACTCTCCTGCTTTTGTGGTTGTGTAAGTGTGCTGACATCTTTTTTCTCAATTTGACTAGTCTCCCAGTTTAGGTGGCATCTTCATCAAACTTTACGTCCCGACTTATAATTAGCTTCTTTTTTCTTAGGTTATATACTCGATAGCCTTTTGATTGAGTACAATAACCTAAGAAGATTCCTTTTTCAGTCTTTTCATCCAGCTTACCTCTTTTCTCCTGAGGTATATGTGTGTAGCATATGCAGCCGAAAACTCTGAGATGTTTTGCTGATGGTTTTCGTCCGCCCCATGCTTCAACTGGTGTTTTGTCTTGCACTGTCTTTGTCAGACATCGATTTAGTAGATAGACTGCAGTGCTTACTGCTTCTGCCCAAAATGTTTTTGGAAGACCTTTCTCCATCAGCATAGCTCTAGCTGTCTCCATTACTGTTCTGTTCTTTCTTTCTAACACGCCATTTTGTTCCGGCACGTACCCAACAGTAAGTTGATGCTCCATTCCTTCATCTTCACAAAACTTGTTAAATTTATTTGATATATATTCCCTGCCTCTGTCGCTTCTGATAGTTTTGATTTTGCAATCACTTTGCTTTTCGACATAGCTTTTGAACTTTTTGAAAATCTCAAATACTTGGGATTTTTCTTGCAAGAAATATACCCATGTCATTCTAGTATAGTCATCTATGAATAGAATGAAGTACCTGTTTTGGTTATGTGATGGAGTACGCATCGAGCCACATACATCCGTATGTATCAACTCCAAAGGCTTTTTGGCTCTCCATGCTTTTCTAGATGGAAATGGTTGATGGTGATGTTTCCCGCTCAAGCATCCTTCGCAAATTTCTTTTATGACTGGTAAGTCTCTCATCATGCTCTTTTGCTTCAAAATCTTTAACCCATGGAAGTGGAAATGTCCAAATCTTTTATGCCACAACCATGACTCGTCTACTTGCACCGCCATTGCCGCATTGTCTGCATATCTCCATTGGATTGGAAAATATCTGTTCTCCCGCTTTTTGACGTTTGCAATTACCAGATGTTTATCTTTCTTATCATAAATTGTACAATAATTTCCTTCAAAATGTATACTGTATCATTTCTCCATCATCTGACCTACACTTAGTAGATTTTGATCTATTGTAGGGACTAAGAGAACTTCATTAATGTATCTCTTGCCCTTTTTTGTATCAACGACAATAGTACCTTTACCTGTAGCCTCTATAAAATTTCCATTGCCAATTTTTATTTTTGTATTTATTTTATCGAGACTGTAGAAAATAATTTCATCCTTCGTCATGTGATTACTGCAGCCACTATCTAGATACCACGTATCTAATTTCTTTTCAGAGACATTCTTCTTGGAGGCATAAAATAGATTTCCTTCTGTCTCCTTTTTTTCAGAGAAATTAGCTTGATTATTTTGTTTAAGGCGACAAAATTTCTCTTCATGTCCAAATTTCGACAGTTACGACACTGTGGTTTACCTTTAAACCAACAATCTTTCTCTTGATGACCTTTTCTTTTACAAATACTGCATGAAGAATACTTGTCGCTTTTATCAACTTCTTTTCCTTGAATTTCTTTATTTTTCGAATTCTCTTTAAATTTTCTCCCACCTTCTTTAGATTTTTGAAACCGCATATTAAGTTTCGATTGAAAAGCGTTTTCTATTTCCATTTCATAGCGCCTTTCTAATCTTTTTTCATGAGCTTCTAATGATCCCATTAATTCTGCAGCTGTTAATTCATTTATATCCTTGGATTCCTCAATAGCTGCAATAATTGGATCATATTTTTCTGTGCAAGTAATTAAAATTTTTCCAACGACCTTCTTTTCGGGAACATCATCACCATAAGACTTTAGTTGATTTACTATTTCATCTATTCTTGAATAATAATCTTTTGCGGTTTCCGACTCTTTCATTTTTAGATTTTCAAAATTCCTTCTTAGAGTTTGAAGGCGGCAAGTACGTACCTTGTTACTGCCATAGAACTCCTCCTTCAACTTATCCCATACTTCTTTCGCTGTTTTGACTCCCATAATTCTTGGAAAATATGTATTCGTCAAGCTCATTTGTAGAGAAAGTAATGCTAGAGAATCTTTTTGATGATTCTCCTTAAGTTCCTTCTTTTGTGCGGAAGTTAAAGTGGAAATGTCATCTGGGTTAGTATACCCATCGTTGACGACATCCCATAAATTTTGAGCACAAAAGTAGGTCTTCATTTTGATAGACCAAAAATCATAGTTATCCCCATTAAATGTTGGGATAGGAATTGATGAGCGGAAAGCCTCTGCCATTATATATGCGTACGCCCAATATCAATCGAACGTGGCTCTAATAGCACTGATAGTTTTTGTGTTGTTGTAGTGATGAGATAGGATGATTGAGGATGTTTTGTATGGAATAATTTTGGAGGTAAAAAAATAGTTGGCTTTTTATTGAAAGTTAATAGTTTGGAAGATTTTGGTAGAAAGTAATTTGGTGGACAAAGTGGGTAGGAGAAAGGAATTTTATTAGAATGATGATAGCTTACAATAGCTTGAGCTTTGTCTAGCTTCTTTTTTCTTACTAACAAATGAGGGATCATGCCTTATTTATAGACTCTTATCATATCTTCTAGAGAATTCTACAAGTGTCTAACCTATACAAGGTTTTTTGGTGTCCAAGTTACTCTAGTGGAATCTAGACAATTCTAATTTTTTATTATACTTGCTTACCAAGGAATTCTAGGATATTCTAGGCAAGTAATTCTAGATTCTTCTAGAAATGAGCATCATTAAATTTATCACAAAATATAAGTTGAGCATTGAGGTTATAACATCTTTAGTTGCATCTTTTCTCTGAATCTGGTAGGCGCATGCCTCTTTTAGTTGTTACTTTATCCTGGAAGTTATGCTTTTGCAGACCATACAGCTTAAGAGTAATACTATTTCGCTAGAATAGGTATGAAGAGAGAGGATATTACCAAAACTAACATGGTATTTTGTTGTTACCAAGGATCTAGGGTGTTTTCATGCATCTTCTGGTTCTCACATATCTTTTCTTGCTTTTAATTGACATCCTTTGTAGCAGAAATCAAAGAGATCAAGGAGAAAAATGAAAACGAGGATCATGTGCTAATCGTTATTGCTGCTGGAAGTTGATATTCCATCCTTCCAAATCTAGAATTTGAATATGCTGATGCTCACATTCACGAAGACTTGTATGAAATTATAAAGTACTCGTCTGAAGAGATCTGCTCAATGAAAGACCATCAAATAAAGTTTTGAGGTTCTGTACTACTTTTCTAGCCAATGCTGGGTGTAGTTCAGATGCTACTGAAGGTGATGGTTTCTTAAGATTGAACTCGAACTCGGGTACTTAGTAAAATCATCCTTTCAAATCCGTTCCGGTAATGTGCCAGTGTAAATATCTTCACATTATTCGAAGGAGAAAACAATGCTCCAGAAAATAGCTACTACCACGAATTTGAAGCAACCAAAGCCCAACTGCAATGGAGATTCAAATGCATCCCCTCAACCAGTTAATTCCTGTAAGACGGGTTTGAAAAATACGGATAATGTGGCTACAGAAGATTGATCAACTCTGGCATCTGGTGGACAATTAATTACCCTTTGACTATCTCCGGTGACGGTGGGTTCTTCTGGAGAGTATGCAAGACAGCCTGACTCAGCAAACATACTATTTTTTTTCCCAATCCACACACTCATTGGAAATAAAGGGACATCGATGATGCCAATTGGCGGTGTTGTAGACAATTTTCATTTGCCGATGTGATACTTTTTTTTCTCAATCCACACACCCATTGGAGATGCTCTTTTAGTAGCATTATTTATCTTATCTTTCTTTTCTGTACAACCAATGTTATAAAATTCGGACTGAACCAGACTGACCTATTCGATTCGAGAATGTGAACCAACCCTAGGCCTGATCCAGCACAAGTGACATGCAATCAAACTGGTCGAGAATCGATCACAATCCAATCAAACCGTCGTTTTCAACTATGGACAAAACACAATCTCCATGGATATGGTCATTCCCAATGAAGCACCAATTTTCAAATTTAACTCAATCATAGCTTGGCAACTGGCAAGGCGAAAGTCAATTATGGAGAGTCTATTGATTCGGGACATTCTAATAATTGATTGATCAATTCATGAAAACAAAACCACGCAAATGCAGATCCCATGGCTTATCATAAAAGCCTGATCGTATCCTACTTTTTATTGCTTTCTGTCTATTTTAGTTTATTTCTTTACTTATATCAATTAGCTTTTATCCCGATGGTTTCCTCATTTGTCCGTATATTCGACCATATTCTTGGTTGAAATATTGATGAAGGTGGTTTATCTCATTTCCTCTGCATCAACTAAAGCATCCTGAATTTAGACAATTCACGTGGCATGAGAATAATAATATCATCGTCTTAATCATCGCGTGGATCAGTGGATGACTAGATGCTAGAGGTTGATGAGCACTTAGAGGATCAAAATTATCTAAACAACTTGACATTTATTGTTAGTTCAGATTCGATTCATGCCATCTTGATCTTTATCTAGATGCTTAACAGCTTGTAGTTAGTCAATCAAAATTATTTAAAT